TTCTACCGCGGTAAGCGGATAAATGGTGTTTTTTTTTTTATTTTTGGGATCAATAAAAATTTAAACAGTCTGAAATATGAACTGTTTCAGTTCATATTTTATATTATTTAAATTCAGCAATAATATCATCAAATAATAAATTAAAATTGATTGTGATTCAGTTTTTGAAGTGCTAAAATTGTTCTAAAATTTAAATTTGAAGCAATTTTAAGGGTAAAAATTATTATTCATCTCTTTTGTTAAAATTAATTTTGGAAATGGATGAATTTATTTATAATGCTTACTATCTTCAAATTACAATCCTTAATTGTATTATGCAATATCAACGGAGGGATTTACTAAACGATTGAAATGAGTTTTATCCATTCCAATTAATTCAAACTCACTTCACAGCTGCAAATTTTATTTCAATATAATCATTGAGCTGAACGAGTGGAAGCTTGATGAATGAAAAGTGCATATAGTGTCCGGATTATTCGAGAATTAAATTTGAAAACTTATTTCTCAATTATAGTTTAGAATGGGTTCTATTATAATAATTCAATTCTTTATGATCATTTACAAAATGAATTAATGTATTGCATTTTTATTTCATTGATCTGTTACTTAACTGTATTTTTGTGCAATCCAATTAAACATTTAATAATTTTCATTTCTCCTTTCTTTCATTTCTTTTTGTTTGAAAGTCTAAAATAACGAAATTTTTTCAGAGGGTTTTTTCTAAACTTTTCAAAGCACCTGTAAAATTCAATTTTGCGCAAAAAATTATTTTAGGTGTAACTTTTGTTCCAATAATTTTCATTAGCTGACTTAATTCACTACAACTGATAAGAAATGTTATTGTATGTTTTGAAAGTTATTTTTTCGAAATATTATTGTATGTTTTGAAAGTTACATTTTTATTTTTTATCGCATTAAATATGTTTCATTTTTTTCAATTGGAATTTGTAGTCCATCTATTAACGATAGAAATAACGTGATTAGATAATGCAACAATACATATTTATATATGTATAAATTACTTAAGTATGTATGAATTTGAAATTAAACATATAATTCAACAAATAAAATGTTAAAAATTTGTATTTATACTGTAGAAATCAACACTTAAAATTTTTAAAAAAAGTAATTTTTTTCTTTTTAAGAATTTATTTTAAGAATTTATTTGATCGTCGAAATTACATCAACTTTATTAGTGATATTTTTACATTAAAAAAATTTAAACAAATGAAAGCAATTGCTGTTCTCTTTCTTTATTTTCATTTTGTTTTTTTGTTTTTTTGTTGCACTTTAAAATAAATTTTTATTTTTCGTTTCGATGACATGAGAAAGACTTTTTAAAAGATTACAAAATTTTTTGTATATAAATCATTATTATTTCGTTGGTGTTTTGAAATTTTTTTTAATTAAGTTAATAATTAACTCTAAGAAGAATTAAAAATTCTTCTTAGAGTTAATTATTTTCCTCAATATCACTTTTCTTGCATATTCTTAGCATTAGCTAACTATTATTCCTCTTTTCATTAAATCCATAATTTAATTATTTGTTTATTCTTCTTTCTCTTTTTCTTTTTATTATTATTTTTCTTGCTTGTTTGCATAGTTTCATTTTACTCATGCCTTATTCTATTATTCGCGAAAATTCTATCATTTGCATTCTTTTTTCTCATTTTTTTATGTTTCATTCATTTTTCTATTAAAGTAATAATTTGTTTCTGAATGATTCATTCAACATTTTAATAATTAATATTTTGTTCGTTTTTTCTTTTTCTTTCAACATTTTTTTTTTTTTGTTTACTTTTTCTTTTCTTCAATCTCTTCGTTGCATATTATCGCTTACTATGCTTATCGGAGAAATTGTTTAATTTGATTTGTATATAATCCTTAGTTCAGTTGATATTATTTTTTTCTCCTTGTTTGCAAACTTTTATTTCATTTTTAAATTTATAATTTGGTTTTGACGCTATGAACTTTTAGATCTCATGTAAATCAGCCGGTAAATGTAGATCAGCTCATAAATTAAAACATATATACATAAGGTTTTAATTTTTATACAGTAACATGATACATGAAATGAAATACTTATACTTATTACTAAATAGAAAACGAGTTAAAATTACTTCATATATATGTTAATATTTAAATTTAAGTATTAATGTGCGGTTTGAAGTATTGTGATCATTTTATTTTCTCAAACTTCATATATACATCAATACTTAAATTTCATCTAAACATCAATGCCTAAATAGAAAATAAGTTAAAACTACTTTGTATGTGCATTAATATTTAATAGATATAACATAAAACATAATATCAAGCAATTATTCGAAAAAATATTATTCATAAATAGAAAATGCTATTATCATTTCCATTCATCGCATTCTTTTTTACAAATTAATAATTGAAATATTGGAATTGTATTGGTGTAATGTATATTATGTATTGTTGAATTTTTTGAAATTTAAAACTGTAAATGATTATAACAGCAGAATGAGTAATATTTGCATTTCCTTCAAAATACGCAACAATATCGAAACATCGATTCGTCTGATTCATTTCTTCCATTAATTTTTTATATTAATTTATTGAAAGAAAAGATCGTATTATGACTTTTAACGAAATATTTAATTAATAATGAAATAGTTTTGAAATTTTGTGTTGTTTCAGTTATCATTTTTTCTTAAAATCAAATTAATACAATCATAACAACTTCTTCGTTCAAACCGTTACTAATGGGATAATTTCTCATATCAAACCATTAACTATCCTAACACCAAAGTGCTGTTATTCAAACAATTCTGTAAAATAAGCTGGCAATAAATTTCCAAATTTTTTTTTCTTTCCTTCCTTTACCTTATTTTCTAACATTAATATTTGTCATTCCAATGTATAATGCAGCTGTTAATGTTTGCAACAAATTATCAATGCTATCCAATGATTCTGATCCGATCAAAATTTTGTTATCTGATGATTGCTTTGGATGAAAATTGGAATGAAAGATTGATCCCACCCATTAGTGCGGTATGTATGAATTTAAACAAATAGTTACCCCGATCGGCTCCACCCAATCATTGCACTCAACATAGGCGCAATTGATAAATTAGAAAATGTAACTTAAAGCTAATCAGTCAGTCCTGTGTATGACTGTTTAATTTCAACTCTCTTTATCATGATAAGTTATTGATCAATCGAATGCTTGATTCGTTTTAGTAAGCTACATTTAATTATTATCGATTAATTGAGTATTAATTGATTTCAAAAAATAATTTCATCCTACAATCGTTTCATTCATATCGTTTATATTTAGTGTCATTTTTATCAGTAATATTATCAAAAAGTAATATTCGAATTATCATTGTTAATAATAAGTTTATCACATGCATATCAGATTAGCAATTTTATTTAGCTAATAAATCATTAAATTAAATGTAATTTCATTTTTTACTTTGAGCATTATTGTTATTGTTATTGTTGCGTCTACTATGTCAACTTTATTCCCTGTAATTAACGTTATCATGAATGAGTCAGTGTTGAAATAATCATTATTCATTTGATTAATTAGTCATTTCAATCAAATTACTTCCATCACTTATAGAGCAAATGAATACTGTCATAGTGCCTAATTACATTTGATTTGATTAATTTATTAGTCATAATTAATTTACAGATACTTTTTTTTCACCTACCCATTAAATTTACTTGATTTATGCATTTAAAACAGCAAATTGACGCAATGACAATGTACACATTTTTTTGTTCAAAACTAATTTAAGGAAAAATTTCTATTTTTAGGATGCAAAAAATAATTTTGAAATTTAACTAAAATTATATAACTTTTTATGGCATCCAAAATTTCACACCTATTGAGTTATTTGTTATTTTTTACTGCTATGTTAACACTTCAATCTTTAAATGATAGCAAAATCATCGTAAACTTTTAAATTTTAATTACTTTGTCTTTTCCGATAAACAGTTGCTATCCGAAATAGACCAATTTCTCAAAGTCCAAAATAGTTCTTCCATCCTTTGATCCATTGATTGCTGATTTTTTTTTTCTCTTTTCATCTTCAACTTCCCTTTCTCTTTTCATTTTTCAACCATTTAGCAATTAAAGATGAAAAATTCATTTTAATTGGCGTAATTCTGTTAGGAAATGTAAAAACATTTGAAGTTTACAGCGCATTACATCTTGAATTTAAACTTTTTTTTTCAAAAATTTATTTAATTTTAAATTGAATCAATAAAATATTTTCAACTATTCTGATCTCTTTTTTTTTCAGTGGAAACCATTCTCTAATTTATATTAATATAAATTTGGAAAGACTACAGAAATATTTTGAAGTTTAAAGTTCAATTTCATTTATTAATCAGATATGTTTGTTAAAATCACATTCCACTATGGATCTTTCATTTTTTTTTTCTTCTTAAATTTTTGTGTGAATTAAATCAGAACAATAATACATTTATTGCTAATGGGTTTTATTTTATTAACATAAAAATTCAATTAAAATTCTAACGTAAAAAATCCTAAATTGATAAAATATAATATTTAACACGAATTTTTTTTTGTGTGTAAATTGAGGAAAGAAAAAAAAAGGAATGACAACCATAAAATTAACGTAATTTTTATTTACAGGTAAAATTTTGGGTATCCAATCGGTTTGAATAATAAGCTGACATGCTGCCATATTTAACATAAAACTATCAACTATTCTTCCATAACTTATAAATATTATGCTATTAAATTGATCGATCAATTAGCTGGTCAAGCAGTGTGTGTGTTTGCATATGTGATTTATCAAAAAATTATTGAAAATTTTAATATTTTTCAATACTTTACCTATATCTGTCATCCATTACTACTTGGTGAAGTGATACTTTTTTACCATTTCCTGGATTTTAAACAAAAAGTATTACTGAAATTAGATTATTGAGAAATTATCAAAAGCGACAGATAAGGTCGTGAAATATTGCATGCAGCTGCATATTGCTGTCATTCGATGCGGCACTATTCACTTTCAACGATAATTTACTTCCTATTAATTATCCTTTTCATCGGTCATTTTCAACAGCTTCATTCATTGCGTTGCAAATGTAACGCAAATCGTGGACCATCACCATGTATTGGTGATTTTTGCGATATACACAATCGTGATGGAAAGCGTGCAGCATGCGGTGCATTACGACGTGCACGACAAACCATTTTTGCATGCGTATTAATTCGTCGAACTTCTAACGATACATATTGCCATGTAATTGGTAGTACAACAGCATGTTGGTGTCGAGAAATGGATTTTTGTAATGCTGATTTAGAAGCAGAATTATTTGATGTTGATGAATCGATTGATAGTTCTGAGGAATTATTATCACCATCATTATCATCATCATCATCATCATCATCATTATCAAAATTCATTTCTAATCCACAAAGGGAAGAATTCATCATTGAACCGAACAGAGAACTAATATCAACTAAATCACGTCAAATAACAGTAAATCCGATACGATCATTTAACACTATCAAATCGACAACATTATCAAACAACAAACAATCAATGAGGACGAAAATTAATTCAGCAATTCAGATTGATGTCGTAGAAAAGGTAAAGCTTACACCGCAAAAAGAAAATCCACCGACTGAAATTACGGAAATAATTTCTGACAGCTACGAATATGAATTAGATGATGAGTGAGTTTTTATTTTTTTTTTCTTTTCTCGTTTTTTTTTTTTGTTAATTTGCTTAAAAATTGGAAATTTTTTGAAAAATGCACAATTTTATGAAATGAATAAATGGTTTTTATTATAACTTAAATAGAATATAATATTTTAAGAGGCTGTCATTCAATTAAAAAAAATTGATAAAAATGTTTGAGTAACGTGTTAAAAATTGAAAGGCATATTTGTAAGATCAAAACTATCATATATAAAAAAAAAGTTAGTATATGAATAAGTAATTGCTTTGACAGTAAAATTTCAGTATGTAATTTTTTAAATTACATAATTATCTATGCGTATAATTATTTAATCGTCTTTTTATTTTTATTTTATGCATGCATTTATTTAATTTATCATTTATGTTTCAACAATATTGTTGAAATTTTGTTCCAAGCAAAATATTAATTCTTATTTATTTTGATAATCATTTCTTCAATATCGTGACAATGTTTATTTGAACTTAAGAAAAATGATTTAAAAAATCCATTTTTTGACATTGCTGAAAAAATTGAATTTTGAACATCGCAATAAAATTATTCAATTTTTAGCTGAAGTTTAATTTTTTTCGTTTGTCTGCCATGTGAATTTTGAATTATTTGATACTATCCCATATATTTTTGTCGATTGAAATTAAATATGAAGCAAAATAATGGATAGAAATGCTTAAGCATTTATATTTTAGTCGTTAAAATTTCAGCAGAAAAGCAAAAAAAAAAAAACCATAACTTCTGTGATTTAAAATGATCTTTGGTGATAACGTTTTACATGAATAAACTTAGCAAAAATAATGTTTATTACTTCTTCCATAATTAAATTAATTAACACAATATGGACATACACAGACATGCATGTACATACATAATATAAATATATGCAGATGTGCATGCAAATATTCTCCTATCATTCAAATAATTGAACTTAATTAATTAGATTTTAATTAACTAAATGCAATCAGTTAATTTGTAAAAATATGTCATTTGCATATTTTTCAAATTAATATTTTAAAAAGCATTAGTTTTATAGTGCCATATTCTTATCGACTGTTGTTATTATCTTATAATACAGTAATGACCATGCAACTGGACAAAAGACAACGTCTCATTGACCAGCGTCCATTTCCGTTCAATTCCTTTCTTCAGCACTAAAATCAATATAGCTGTATTATAATAGCAATATTTCAACAATGTTGTTATAACAGCTATATATTTTGTTTAATGTCAATACTCGCGAATCATTTCTTCAGCCTGTTAATTAATTAATTAATTAATTAATTAGCCAATCATACCTCATTTTGTCGAGTATTTATTTGCACAGTCAATTATTTGTTCATCGATAAGCTCAAAATCAGTTAATCAATCATTCAGTATACGTTTAATTGCAATGAATTAATTCGCCAATATTCATTATACGGTTGGATATATCAAATATTTATTTACCTATCCAATTATTATTTGTTCATTCTCAAGCTAATACATTCTTCGCTCTTCAAGCTTTTCAATCAAACTATTTAAACAATCTCAATGTTGACATTTCTCACTGCTTCCTTGCCATAATGACTAACCTTTCCTTCATCATCAATTTCCAGCTTCCAATACAAATTATATTCCTTTTTTCCCATTCAATAAAATGACTTGATGAAAAAAAAAAGATAAAAGTATGAAACGAAGGAAGTAAAAGAAGTTTTTTAAAAAAAAAAAAATTGATTGAAAATCAGCTTCATTTAAATTAGAATTCATTTCATATATTTTTTTGAATTTAATCATTAAATAATTTTGTAGCAAAATAATGCTTGATTTTGCACCTTGTTTTGCCTTTTTTTTTTGTTGTTATTTCTTTCTCTTCCTCTCTTCCCTTTTTTTCATCTCTTAAATTTTTAGAATAATTCAGTTTTAGTTTCGGTGATTCATTAAACTTCACACAAAAATCTCTGTAAATTTTAGATTTTGAAATTTTTTCACAGAACCAAAGAAGTTTTTCACACGAATAAAATTTAAAATTTCTCACGACATCAAGGATTTTTTGTGTTTTAACAACTGAAAAGCTTCATTCTCCGAAGCTAAAATCACTCGAAATATGATAACTGAGGTAGGGAACAATTATATTTTTCGGTACTATTACCAATATTATCAAATTATTTGTTGAATTTTCAAATTAAAATGTTATTTAACGTAAAAACAAAAAAAAAAAGTATATAATTCTTCCCATAATCTGCAAGTATTTATCGGTCCAAAAAAATCATTTTTACAGTATCCATTGGCGTAAATAATCATTACAGTTTGTCATTGGCGCAAATAGTCCTACAACATTACCCGCTGGCGCAAATAATCCTTACAGTATGCTTTGGCGCAAACAATCCTTACAGCATTTACTGAAAAAGATTTTGCCTCTTAGAATTATTACCCAATGCATCAGAATTGCTGCATAGACCGGTGAACTATCAGTTTATTCAAGTCTTTTCTTTCTTATTTGTTCAATTTTAACATTTTAGTTACAGTAGAACAAAATTTAAAATTTATGTGATTGAATTACATAGCAAATTTAATTTGCAAATAAATATAACATTAGCATTCAAATTTTTTTTAACATTCTTCCTGATCGAATAATTTCATGATTAAAATACCATTTCATTTTCCTGTGCTTCTATGGAAAAACTATTGAATCATTTCATAGCGCATTGAAAGAAATGGAATCTTTGAACTTTTACAATAGATCAACCCTTTCCGCATTCCACAAATATTATATTTCATCCATCATCCGAAATGTCGAACGCGAAAAAAAAAGTATCCATTGCTTTCTCTAAAATTGTTGAAAGAACTTGAAAAAATTAAGATTTAATTTTTTAAAAATAAAAATTTCAAAATTAAATGTTATTCATACATGTAATTTTAATTTTCGGAGATTTCTTTTACACAAAATTGGAATTTGTAGAAAATCAATAAGTCATTAATGCACAGTAATTAATTGCGGTTTATTTAATAATCGATTAAAATTATTTGAGAATTAAAAATTTTCGATTCGCAAGAACTGTTAGAAAATAAAATATTTTCCTCCTGTCAAATTTTTTTTTATATCACATTGCGATTTAAATCATCACTGTTATCAATCCATTAAAAAAATTTACGACAAAATAAAAGTGATAGATTGTTTTGCATTTATAAGGATAACACATATGAATATTTTCAATTATTATGTATTTTATTACAATATTTCTTCGAAAAGTTTTCAACAATTTAAATAATTTTTTTTGTTTATTTTGTAAAATAATATGATTGATTATCAGGATAAAAGCAAAGATGTTTGGTAAACAAAAAGAGATTTCATTTTTAAATGTATCTATAGCTATTATTTGATGAAATTTTCAACGAATGATTGCAAAATAATCGCATAGATTACAAAATTGAAACTAATAAAAAAAATTTTTTTAAACAATCATTAATAATTTTCATTTCATTTCAGTTTATTTCAATTATAAACTCAAATGCAGCTTAAATTCAATTTATTTTGCTGTGAATGTATAAGCAATCGTTTTTTCCAATGGAATCGATATTTCCCAGTTCGAATACTATTTCCGAACACACGATTATTTCATCAAAAAAAAAAGCTTTCTGTTTTCCGCCCTTTTTTTTTTGCGTAAATTGAAAAAAATTACCATGTCGATTATTTTTTTTCCTTTTTTTTAACATTAAAAAACTGCAAATAATTATTTTCTTCTTCTGAGTCAAAAATCACTAACAGTTTTCAAATACAAGTAAAAATTTTTAAATACGAATAAATCCTTGAATGAAAATTTTAAGTAAATATTCATTGGTCAATGAATAGTTTCATCAAATATTTAAATTACAAACATGTTGTAAATATTGGAAAATATACGATAAGGGCTAATCATTAGTGAATAATAATTATGGGAATGACATAGTAGGATGGATAAAATATATTTACAAGAGGATAAGAGAGGAGAATTGAAGAAAGGAAATTGGAAAGGTTAAGCTTTACAACCTTTCATGCTATCATATTATATTTTTAATTTATATTT